TAGAACTCTTTGATTCTTCGCTTTCCAATATACCTATACATATCCACAATCCCTATTCTTCCTTTTCTAATCTTAGCAAGCTGATATATATATTGGCTCTTCTTCTTTAGATTCTAACTTCTTATACAGAATTTCTCATAAGCCTGTATTTAGTCTCACGCTCTTTTTGCTTCCTTCATCGCTAGCTTATATTTCTCCATGTTTTCTTGCTCCTACACTTTAGCCACTCTTTTCTTCTCTCTAATCGCCTTTTGCACATATTCATTCCACCACCAACTTCACTTACCATCTAATCTATAATATTTAGATTCTCTTAGTATATCTTTAGTCACTTCTTAATACAAGAACACATGCTATTCCATAAAACATTAGTCTTATTATTAATATTCCATATATCTTCCTTTATTATCTTATTTTTAAAATGAAGTTGTTTCAACTGATCGCACAAAAATACTTTCTGAAGTTCATCCTTTTACAAACATTCATTAATCAGGGAAGATTCAACTCTCAAGTTACTCTTATTTGTGATCAAATGCATAGACAAATAGATGCATCTTAGATGTATATGTAGGATTCGATATACATGGCACATGGCTCAAGTTACTTTTATTTGGGATCAATACATAGACACATAGGTGCATCTGTTAAGAAGGATAACTCCAACCAGCTGGATACCCATTGGAGCAGTTATTATAACAGCAGTTGCTATGACAAATAGCATGATGATAGCAACAAATCTTTATGCTCGGAATATGCAGCAAAATTTATCTTCCTCTGACTCAAACAATAATTTAGTGTGAATAGACTTCACATGTTCATTCGAGAGCAACACTGACGAAAGGACAGGACTGTGCAACGCTTTTTAAGTCAAAAAACAGGTATCATGAACTTCATAAGTCAACTGCATGCAACACAAAGCTTGAGAATGTAAAGTTTCATTAACTTTCACACTAGAGTGAAATAACAATGTTCTTAGTGAGTTACTTGCATTAGACTAACAAACAGGACAGCAAAACATTGTCGCGTAACGTAACAAATTAGACTGCAAAAGACAGTCAAGTAACACAATCTCATCCTCAAAGTTCATGCCTCTAACGTTATTTATGCTTGAGCCTCATTAACTTTGTTTTACTCAATACAGAATTATTTGGAATACAACACACAAGCTTTAATCATTTTTCTGACACACTTTTTCTCTTTGTGCAGCCTACAACTCAATCCATTTTATCTCCTCTTCTTAGGTTAATAATAAACAAGTAAATGAATGCTACGATTTACTCCTCGTTATATCACAGTTGATATATTTATAAGAAATCTAATTTACAAGGAAGTTAAATATTGTTATTGATTTATTTATTGTTCTTGCACTAGTATGAACTAAGCAAAGTTTTGTATTAATACCTGGTTACATCAATATCTTGTTGGCTTGCAAATTAATATATAACACGCCAAGCCTCCCAAGCCAAAATTTTACCAAATTATTAAACAACACATTTGTTGATAGTTTTAAGCACATAAATTTTAGTTCTTTCACTATTATAACTAGAAGACTAACCGGGCTTTAACAAATACAAGGTTATTGATAGCGGATAGCATCGCGTAGCGGTGATGTACTGCTAAGGCTATTTACATCTATAGCGGTAAAATGGCTGCAAATAGCAAATAGTCAAATAGCAGTCAAATAGTGCATAGTCAGATAGTGTTGCTGGTGGAGAGAGCTTCAGAGATGGTGGATGGAGTAACGGAGATGGTGAGGGTGGTGAAGAGAGCTTTAATAATGCTGGAGGTGGTGGAAGGAGCACCAGAGATGGGAAGGAAGCTCAGGAGAGAGGGAGAGAATTGATGGCTTGGGTTTTTTCTCTTTTATGGCTGCGAATCAAAAACAGAGGGAGAGAGAAGAGAGAAAAAGATATCTGATAGGGTTTTAATGATAAAAAGGAATCAAGTCTGGGTATGGGTTAGCTAGAATATAAAAATTATCTACCAAATAAAAGCGAGTTTTAGCGGCGTTTTTAACCGCTAAAACTCACTATGTCATGCAATCACGAACAAATAGAGGTTCTGGCCACTATTTGCTCCCGCTTTCGCTGATAGCATAGCAATAGCCAGCTCTAACGCTATGAAAACCGCTACGGTATACACCACTACTTACAACAGTGGGCACTTGTTGTTGGTCTTCCATAGTTCCATGTACTTTGACCACTAATTACTAGCGACCAAAACCTCCAACAGGTTTACGAAAGAAATTAAAATAAAATAGAAGGATCAACAAAAAAGCAGAACATCACCTAAAACTCATCAACTAACTTGCAAAAGTTCTCAACATGCACATCTTAGGAAGCATTCACTTCATGTATCTATCATCAAATTTTTAATTTTAACTGACTCAAATCCTAAGAATCTGTTTGGCAAGTTGTATAAAATTGGGTCGAACTAGTCCTAGCCTAGTTTTATGTTAAACTGGTTCTATTTTGAATCCCGCAGGGAGGTGTTCAAAATAAAACCAGTTTAAGGGCCCATTTTTGGCCTAAGAAAAGCTAAGCCAGTTTTGGCCCAGTTTTTCCCAATCAAGATTCTCCTTAAAATCGGACCAAGTGTGAACTTGGTCCAATTTTGAGAGAGCCAAACATGACATTGCCCATAAGTTAATCCAACCCAAATCAGTCTTTATAAGTCTACGACAATCATCTGTGTTTTATAGCAATTCCAATTCCTTAAGATGCTAGCTTTCATTCAATATGCACAGAATAGCAACATTTTAACAAAAAAGCTTTAGGGATCTATTTATGTCCTTAAATCTTCTTGAGTATAGCAACATTTTAACAAAAAAGCTTTAGGGATCTATTTATGTCCTTAAATCTTCTTAAGTATAGACCATGATTGGTTGGACTTCTCAAATGTGAATCATGGAAGTCAAATAGGCTTTGACACCAAGCCTACGTTCAAAACTCAACTTTTGGTTAAAATATGAATATAACTGTTTGTGGGAAAAAATTTAAAGAAGAAATGAGAATAAACGAATTTGTATTAATCTCCCTAACTGACTTAGGAAAAGAATAAATATAATCTCTCTTTGCAATCTCTCTCTAACTGGCTTAGGAAAAAAAATACAACTCTTCTTTATCGGTTTCCCGATTTACAAAAGAGAGAATGAGTCAACGAAGATCATTCCCTTTGTTTAAAACTAGGTTCTTCTTGGTAGCGATGAGAGTTTGAATCTTGTGCCCCATTAACGATCCAAGCACTTTGCTTTGTGAAATGTTGTCTATTCCTCTTGACTTGACGTCGGAAAGAACTTGCGATACAAGTTTAGAACTCTAAACGAGTTTAAGAACTCTGGACGAGTTTAAGATCTCTATAAAAGAGTTGATTTTAGAAAAAAAATTAATCCTTTTAAAATAAAATAATTCAGTAATTAATCTCCAAGTTCTTCAACCGAAATGGTTTAAAGTCAAGGCAAAAGCTCTCTCAAAAGCCAAATTTAAGCTCCTACCAAGTAAATTCAAGCTAACCCCGTTAATTTTTAGTCCACCTAGATATTCCAAAAAGATCCTTTTGTAGCTAACTTCTCAACTATTTATAGGAGTTTAAGGGGTATAACTGACCCCTTAAATCACTCCTTAATGAGGGTTTAATGCCCTTAATTCGTGCAAAACGGTTTTGGAACCATTTAAAACGTTTTTGAATTGGTCACACGCGAGGTTCGCGTTCTGAAAACGACCCTCGCGTTTAACCTATGAAACGCGGTTGTGAGCCTCGCGTTTGGCATTTAGAACGCGGGGGTGAGCCTCGCGTTTGGCATTTAGAACGCGGGGGTGAGCTCCGTGTTTTGAGATTGAAAAGCGGGGAGACCCTCGCGTTTTGGTTTGAGGAGATCATCAATTTGTTCTCTTTTATTAAAGCGTTGTAAGGATTGTCATCTTGTAATCCTTGTATTCGGCTCTTTCAAATATGAGAGTCGTCAATTTGTAACTCTCACATGCTGTTGTGAATGTAGTTAAATTATAACTTTTATCGGTTGTTGCGAAAGTTATCAGATTGTAACCTTCATCTGCGTTTTCTTTGTTTCGAATTTCTCTTTCACAATCTGTTTGACAAAAGAAGTAGGAAACATCAGTCTCTTCAAGAAACTAGGCAAGAGAGGCTTGAAGAAATGAAGATGCTGAAACCCACCATCTTTCTTCTTCATCTTCACAATGATATGGAGTAGAGAATTAGAAAGGTTGCTAGTCAGTGTTTTGTGAGGATCGGCTATCTGCAGTAACTTTTAGACAGCCTACAATACCATACTTCTAGGACACAAAACGAGTCCATTTCCATAAAAAAATTGGCCATTAGCATCTGAAAGAGGGTTGTTACAAACATCTGTTGACTAACAACCACAATTCCACTAGCTCTTTGTAATCAAGGGGTTCTCATGGGGGCTGTACTATAATGCAATCAGAAATTATGAGTCTGGATTTCAAAGAACAAAAATTCACCTTTGCCATCAAAAGCTAACATGTTTAACAGATATCTTTCCGGAAGGAAAGATGAATTTCATACTTGAGACCTGGTCAAACACATAAGGTGAAAACAAAGAACAGTACCCATAAAGAGCAATCACTTTGTTTTCTGCTTGTGAGAAGGGAGTAAAAAGCCAAACATGATTGCAAGATAGTCCCCTAATTAATGCTTGAAAGGAAAGAAATGACTAAAGAACATACAAGGAGTTGCAAGGGAGAGAAATTCTAGAGAATGAATATTAAAAACTACTTATCACTGTAAGTATCATGAGATGTTCGCAAGTGCTAAAATCATTACTTCCTGAAATAACAGAATAAACATCAAATTAACAGAGTAAAGAAGATGTACCAGGATCTGCAATAGAATGCTAGATGAAAACATAAATGCAAGACCAGCAAGCCTGCATGATAAACAAAATTTCAGCAAAGAAGTTAACATAAGATATGAGAAATTTATACAATTGGAATATAGAACTTACACTATTAAAGTTAATCAGCATATGAGATCCCGCACATGCATCCAATGCCACAACATGGGGGGAAAAAGTCAAAAACAAACAAATGTGAGCCACTTAAAGAAACTTGAGAAGGAATAAATCAGAAGTACAGCAGTGTCAAGCAGTAAATTACATCACCACCACAGTTAAACGAAACATCTAACCTAACCATATCTGCTCAACCCTGTTATCCAGATGAGCAAGTTTTTGGCTGCACCATGTGGATCACATTGAATAGAGTGAAAATTGGCTGCCTGACAATATCTTTTCCCCATACGTTTTATCGTGTAATATATCTGAACGGATAGGTGCTAGTTTAACTGTAACCAGAAGTCCTAGTAGCAACAATCTGAGAATGACTTCATACTCTTTAGCACAGATTAGCGATTACTATGAGAATGCTTGAGCTACGACAACGGACCCACTCCCAAGTGTGCTATTCCATCTTACAAGTTCTATAATATTAGATTGGTTAAAGAGGAACCATCGTCGTCGTATCGGAGTCCTTAGAAAGCATAGCAAAAGTAAATTCCTAGGAAAGTCCCTTCACTAAGGAGACATACGCCATCTCAAATCCTTAGATGACAACCTTCAACTGCAACAAAATGGCTACCACACACAATCCCTCGCAATGTGAGTGTAACATATATACTATTATCATCGTAACGAGTAAACATGCTCTTTAAGTAAATCAAACATCTCCATGTTCATTGTACCATCAGAGAATTAAGATTTCTATTTTCCTGAAGATAACCTTGTACCCAGACAAAATAGTTCCAATGCAACATTTGGGACTCTTTAATCTGAAAGCTCCCAACTTGTTACCGAATTTAAAAAAATTAAAACAAAATATAACTCCAGACTTCTAAGAGCTAACAATTTCGGAAAAATCGTTTCGAGATTAAAAACCCTAGAATCGGGCATTCCTCAGATTACGACCAGTTAAGCAAGCAAATACTCCTCAAAATCGAAGGAACCGATCTCTCTCCAATTACATCAGCTCATCATCTCTCGACGTTTAATCAGTCCCAACGAAATCCGAATTCGGTCCTAAAACCTAAATCGAGCTCCTTTTATTTTATTTTATTTTATTAAGACTATAATATAACTGAAAGTTTTATATATAAGAGTCCTCGATTAAAAGATTGGGACGATGAAAGAGAAATACGATGAAGAGAAGGTTACCTTCGACGGTCATCGCCATTTCTCGCAGCGAGATCAAGCAGAGTCCGGTCCAGAGCAGGACCCTGAAGAGAGCCCAATCTTTTTCTCCCCCAAAATAAAATGAAATAAAATAAATAAAAGAATCTCGGGAAAGAAAGGGGAAAAGAAAAGGGTTTGGAGATGGTGGGAGTCGCTTACGTGGCAGTTAGAAGTAAGGTCTGAATGCCGGGCCGGCCTACTGGGCGTTGATACTGATGGGCCAGCCCACTTGAACCTCGAGAAAAAAATAAAAATAAAATCTTTCCCACCGGATTAGATTTTGTCTAGTTTCTGGTCCGCGTAGATAAGAAAAAAAGGAAAAAAATGCAATTTTATTAGAAGGTTGATTGTAATTTGTCCCTGAGTAAAAATGCGACGTAAAGACAAATGCTTAATTTAGAATTGATTACAGCATCACTAAAACTATGATAAAAATATTAGTCTCCGCATTTTTTTAGCGGAGAAGAGGATCCCGAACCAGTTTGTTCATTTTCGTTTTTTTTTTTTTTTGATAACCAAGCCCGAATTGAGCCCAAGATCTTAAAAGTCATATTGTAACCTCTCAACCGTTCGAATCAGCCGCGATGGGTAAATCCAGTTTATCTTCAAATCATTCAAGTTTTAAGTACCATGATCCCCATTCCCTGCAAATAGTTATTACCAAAGGTTCAACGTGCTGTGTATGTCCCTGAAAGTTAATAGCAAATAAGCTCTGACTTGGTCAGGATACCATTTTCGAAACATTAGTTATACATAAGTTCTAACAAATGTCAAATACTAAACACGTGACAAGCTAAAAAATGATTAGAACTATGGAACAAAATATTTATACACAAATTTCGGTATATATTCCCCTCTTTAAGTATCTCATTCGAATATATTTCCCTTCTTCAAGAACTAGCAACAATCGAAATACTGGAGTCAATATGTATAATATCACGCCGCGTGCGCGCACACAATATAACATGTATTACAACAACAAAATAGACTAGTAACACAAACAAAATTTAACATCTGGAACAATAACAAACAGAGTTGCAACAATATGCAACTTGATAGGTGCTCGTACAATAATATTCTCACAAAGCCGGACAAGCATCAGCCTGTCTCAGGCCAACTGCATACGATTAATGTCTTGAACTGGAAAGTAATAAACCTGCTGTTTTGTTACATGGCCAAGGAACTATGCACAAGCTGTGGATATATAATAAAGTTAGCACTCATATGACTTAATCTAGTTCATAGACTTATCCTCTCCAGCTATATACATGCGCTCTCTGTAGCAAATCCTGCGGTGCAGGGAAGGATCATCTCAAGAATGCCTACAAACAAAATTCTTCCAAAACTTCATGAAATTCTAACAGCATGCGCTAGCATATGCAAAAAAATGCCTTCCCGCTTTCGATTGATAACCTCGATATCATCACTCCATAGCTCAGCCGTGCAACCTAATTTGCCTTCCATGGAGATATTTAAGCTTCGTGAGCTCCTTCCTCCGCTTTCTAGCTGCAGCGGCTGTGAAAGGATCTACATGTTTCTTATACGATGAAATAGATGCTGCTTGTGATTTTTCTGATACAGAATCAAGTTTGAACCCCCTTTCTTGCCCACCTCTGTCTGCTGAACTTGGAACCAGAGATACACCACAAGCGTGTTCGTGTTCATCGATCTCTGTTGGCATCTCTTCGAGGTTGATATCAGCATTCTTCCCTTCATGATCAATGCCTTCTCGTTCAGTTGATGAAATGTCGGTTTTGCTTCCAACTTGTAGCGATGCTCCCTCTAAATTGGGACATTGTCTAAAGCGTTGCTGATTAGTAACAAGTGATTCATGTTTATTGGATGCTTGACAACCAGGTTGATGGGATTCAGAAGTTTGATGAAGTAAAGGATAGAACCAAGCACATGATGGCACATAAAAGATGGCCCTCAACTCACCAGCTTTACTAGAACCTTCTTCATCGTAAAATTCTGTGCTGCCGGGAGCTACTAACGAAAGCTCAGTAGAAGGGGATGTTGTCTCCAAGCATCTCGGAGCAATTTCTGCTCCAACATCAACTTCAGATTTTACTGCTTTGACCACCTGCAGAATATAAATAAATTCTCAAGGGAACTAAAATGTGAAACAAAAGCGTAGGAAAATGGATATTCATCATGGAAATATTTTGATAGAATATCAAAGGAATGTTGGGTCTCACTTGCTCTTTTAATTCTTTGTTTCTGTCTCTCAATGAAAGATACTCTTTCATCATCAGATCCTTTTCCTACTTCAAAACAGATGTTGCACAATAACTAATCTATTTTTAAGAAATGATCAAGTAAGAGAGCAAGAACTATCCACATCACAAACAGTATAGTACCCATGAACTTCAGTTGACACATAAATTTACTACCAAATTGTAGCTTCCTTAAACAAGTTTGAGTCTTTGACATACCACTTTCATATTCTCGTTCTCCAGTGATAAATCAGCAACTCTTTTGACCAACTCCTCACGAAGGGCCTGCATAATAAAATGTAATACCATCAAAATCTGCCTTCCAATGAGCTGGAAATGCACAATTACATTTGCATTCGGTATGCGGTTTCATTTTGTGTGCTCAGCTTACCTGTCGCCTTCGAATTGTTTGCCTAGCAGACTCTCTATTGGCGAGAACCCTGCGTATTCTCCTTGCTTCCTTCTCAGCCTATGAAGTAGAAATATCAATCTGCAATTAAAGATCTAACTCTTAAGGAGTTAAAGGTGATGGTACCTCAGTCATATTTTGCTTCATTCTACGTCCAAAACATGATACATGACTACTCGTGCAGCTGATGTTCGTAACAGACAATTCAGTGTTCCGTTCAACTTTTATTCTTTCTTTCACCACAGCTTCACTAGCTTTAGTTTCTTGAGGATCATCATCTACCAAATACGCATGCTACAAGGAAGAAGCAGACATGAAGGCATTTCTTAAGTGAGATGTTGTTTTGGCTCTACTTTAAGGGCAATAGCATGAGAGGCTATTGATCATCAGCCTCCTACAGTTTTTGGGCTGCTGTAGGTTACAACTCATTAAGTTTGACTTCAGCATGCCAAAGGGATGCGCGGGAGACTAAGTGATTCTTGCCAAATAGCCCGAGAATATATTCAACTTTGTCAAATACCAGTTTGATAAAGCTGAAGGAAATTTTGTGCCTAGCACAAAGAATGTATTTATCCATGGCTGTTGAGAGTTTTGAGGATTATCTCATCCTTTTAAAATGGTAGAATAACTGTATCCAAAGAAGAAAGAAATCAAAAGGCTATAGTTACGCAAAGCTTCACTTTCTAATATATTTTTTTATCCTGTTGCCAATCTGCACCTACACTTTTACCTATGTACTGCCAGATATTTATAGATTTATAGAGACCATAAAAAACCAACATAAATCAGTAGGATCTGCAATGTTGAGATATAAACTAACTGGGCAATTTGGATAATAAATAAAGGGGAATTCAAAGATGGCACACAGTGGCGGACCTAGGAAAGTTTTCCTGGGGGGGGCGGAAAACAACTATCTATTTATCTGAAAATAAAATTATAAAATTATAAATTATAGTGCTTGATTGCTGATCGAAATGCATTCGATACACTTTATAAGTTATATTGCATCATTTTTTTTTGTAATATGATAGATAAATAAAATTGAGTTTTTTTTATTTACTTCCACTAATAAGCTCTTCGATGACCATATATCTTGGTCATTGGGATGATATTCTAAAATATTTGGTCGAAGCCGTAGATCCGCTGGAAGATCTTTCAAGTTCACTCTATTGCTTCGCTTTGTATTAGGTTGTACATTCTCAAGATTATTTAAATTCGTAGTAGTTGACAATTGCTTCATTGATGACTTTCTCTTGAGAAATTTATCGACAACTAAAAAAATTAGGAAAGATAATCAACATCAAACCATTACTCTAACTAATCAATAATTGTTTTTTTATATATTATTGACTTTCACCGATTTTTTCTTTCTACAATGTCTAGTATTTAAGAGAGAGGTCAGGGAGAGAGAGAGGGTAGGGGAGGGAGAGATTGCGACTTTGGGTTTTGGATTTTTAGTATTATTTTTAGGCTACTGGGTTTGGGCTTTTGGGCTTTGGAATTTTAGTATTATATACTTTTGGGCTATTGGGTTTGGACTTTTGAGTTTTGGAATTTTAGTACTATTTTTGGGCTATTGGGTTTAGACTTTTCGGCTTTAGATTTTTGGATTTGTAGTATGGTTGGATTTAGGTTTGTGTTGTTTGAGCCATTTGATTTGGTTGTTAGAAAATTTAATGGGCTTTCAATTGTTAATGGGCCAGTTCAAATTCTGTTTATTTCTTGAGTGGATTTGGGAAATAGTTGGGGTGCAAATATCAAAGTTATTGGGGGTGTAGGCAAATAAAATTGCCTTTATCCCTAATAAGTTCGTCTGCAAGGCGAAAGTTCGCCTATAATGATTAGGCTTGCATGAACAAAGCTAACTCGCCTGTATTATACACACGAAGCCAAGTTCGCCTGAATAACTCGACTTCGCCGGCATAGCTAAGTTCGTCTGATAACTTAGCTTCGCCTGAACTGATTGAGCTTCGCCAGAGTAGCTCGTGCGAAGCCAAGTTCGCCTGAATACTTAGCTTCGCCTATAGAAGGTTCGCTCGCACGATCCAAGAGTGGCTCGTGCGAAGCAAAGTTCGCCTGAACACTTAGCTTCGCCTACAGAAGGTTTGCCCGCACGATCCAAGCTTGCCAACAAGGGTTAAGCTCGCCAGAACGCTTAATTTATGAGGTTCGCCTGCATGTTCCAACCTCGTCTGTTTGTCAAACTCGCCTGTATGTTCCAACCTCGTCTGTTTGTCAAGTTCGCTCGCATGATCCAGGCTCGCCTGCAAGCTCGCCTAGCTCGCCTGAACAGTTAAATCCGCCTGTATTGACTAAGTCGACCACTCAAGCTCGAACAGGCTCGCCTGCAAGCTCGCCTAGCTTGCCTGAACAGTTAAATCCGCCTGTATTGACTAAGTCAACCACTCAAGCTCGAATTGTGGGAGTGGTTACGCCCACTTCCCACGTTCTAAGGAGGTGATTACGGTCGTTCTTCTCTATAAAAAGCCATGAACGGCTACAGAGAAGGGGATCCGACTTCTTGACATATTAAGAGAACCAAATTTTTGCATCTTGTGCATTCGGCCTTCGAATCTAAGCTCGGGTTTTCGAACTCATTCGACCAAGTTTCTACCACGCGCTGAAGTTTGTTCACGACATCGTTCAAATCCTCAAAGGGAAGCAAACTCGACACGAGCATGAGGCATCCTATCGCCCCGTAGATCCCACGTTAAACAAGGAGAGAGCAAATTAATTCTATCTGCTTCTGTGTAAAAGTGATTTTTAATTTGTAACAAGTAATTCAATTAATACAAATTTAAAGTCAATTTTTACGACCTACAAAGGGCAGATTGAAGAAATTACAGGGCTTTACATGCTAATTTGACAATGTTTAGGGGTGCAACTACGCCCCTACTTGATATGTAGATCCGCCCCTGATGGCACAGATTACTCAACATCTTAAGGATTTAGCCCTATAATGTTTTCAAAAATCATGGACTGGCAATTTGGATAAAAAAAATCAAGGAGAATTCAAAGACGGCACATACTACTCAACATCCCAAGGACTTAGCCCAATAATGTTTGCGCATTACATAGACCTTTGTTTTCTTCTCCTATTTATGATATTTGCACTTGACATTTTCTGCAAGTTAAAAGTTCATATCGCCTAGGGAACTACAATGTCAGTGCAAACAACATCTTACAATAAAGCATCCCACCATTGACCATTGTCTATGCTTCAAATCTAATGCAAGGACTTTTTGCAAGAATTAACATGAAATAGTACTAGATCTAATGCAAATTTAGTGTCAGAAAGGGGTGCCGCCTTATTAGGTATGAGGCTGAAGCTCCACGTACAATTTTGAAGCCGAGCCTTTCCAACAATGGGGCCCAGCGAGCAATATGATGATTGGTTTAGGTAGGGAGGCTGGCCTACCATGGGCACCTGTAGGGATTGGTGCGTAAGACCACGAAAGAAAACAAGGCTCGCTACCTACAGTTAAGAGAATGAAAGATGGGAAGGCAATGAAATTGGTTCAGTAATAGGTTCAGAAAATTCATTCCTTGGGTTGTAAAGAGCTCGGCTCATCCCACGCTTGATAGAAATAGGACCTGCCGACGGTAAGAAAGGAAGATGGGTCACCCATTGTCACGTTTGAGTTTTTTTATGTGCAGATACAATTAAAGCTCACTTCTGATCATTTTTTCGCTACCAGGATAAGATGCCCAGGGAATTTATTCGTTAGAAAAATAGATACAGAATTTACATGAAGCAGAAGGGAAAAGAAGAAGTACAGTAGGAGGAGAGAAAGAGGAAACATTAGAGAACAAAAACGATAAATAGTGCTATCTACTCAAGAGCCTATGTTGCTGTGAGTCGACTGTGACTGTCTATCTTAGGGTAAGGCAATGTTGTGATACCAGAAAGAACATGATCGCACAATCAATCGATGAAGAGTGTCATCATCTATTAATGGGTTGTTCCGTCGAAGTAAGCGGAATAGGCAGACCATAATGACACTTGCAGGTCAGTTTCTCCTTAATAGTAATACTGATATCTTTGAGTAGTAGCAATACCAATAGTAATATTGATCCATCACAATCATAATGCACATTTTTTTCGGGGGAGACTTGTCTCAATCGTATTATACCACAAGAAGCACTCGCTTGTTATAGCAACAAGTCCTATTAAAGATTGAAGTGATAAACAAATTAGTGAAGTGTCGACCGAATTGGTCAACGGTGTTGTTTCCCAATTGCAGCCTTTGGAGAGCATCTTCAACGTGCGTTTCAAATGCCAAAAATATGTAGCCAAGGTTAGATCCCTTCTTGCACTGCTAATTTCATTTCTCAATGCTCCAATTTACTCAATAAAGATATCAAAGCCAAAGCTAACCCTAATCAAAAGACACAAAAACAAGCGAAACTCTAAAGGAAAACAAAAAAAGTACCTCGGATCTCGACCTCCTCCCTGGTCCGTCTCCTCCCTCCCTCTCGATCT